CGTTCGGTATGTTGAAAGTGCTCGTTGTTGGCCTACTTACCATCAAAAAATAGGTTTACGATGTCCAGCCTATGTTCGGCTAGGAACGGCATTTTGAAAGAGTTCAATAGAGCTCGTATCATTAAACATTGTCAGTTCAATGAAACTATTACCGGAGACCATGCATTCCAAAATAAATTGACAAGTTGTCATGTGTGGTATATCACAAATACCAACAAATTAAGTCCCATGAATGAGAATACTGCGATAGAATAACAACTAAGAGAGTCCAATTGTTTCACAAAAGTTTATAATAAACTTCGCAGAGTCGGAAAAACCAGAATGAAGTAGCTGATGTTTGAAGACGCGTAAGCGACCCAACAACGAATTCCGTAAGGTGCACCCGCGAAATTATAAATGTAGAGGAAGCCGAACACGCAACTTACTTGACACAGGAGAAAATGCAGCCACATATGGCAAAATCACGAACTATAGGTCAACCACGTGGTCACCTGCAGTTAACAGTACGCTGAAATTTTTAAAATTTTGGATTGTCAGGGAAAACAAATGGCGGATGTAATGTCAACGTACCACAGTACTTACCGTAATGAAGTATCACTACCAACTCTGAAGTATGCCTAGCAATATACGAAATAAAATTTCTAGAACATGCTTCTTAAGCGTGTCCCTGAAATCATAACCATTGCTCAGTTTTCTAGCGCTCCATGCCAAATGAAATGTTTATTACAAAAATTTTTAATTCATGTAAGTATTCCCCTAAGCGATGGTCACGGATTCTCGGGAACTACTTTTAAGATCCCATTTCCTCCTCCCTTTAAAATATAGGTCCTAAGACATTTCTTTCGATCCGTAGGATATGAAGAAAAGAAAGAAACTGACCCAAAATTGAGTTCTAGTATAAGGATTTTTATACATCGTATTCCTTTGTAGAAGCTTATTTACCTAGTTCTACCCTTCTACTCTATAACTACCTAACCAAAAACTGCGTGAGCAGTAAGTTTTCATTATCAACACGCTGAACATAATTACTGATACTGACCTTACAAAAGAAAAACTTTTGCTATCAGAAACTAATGAAAGACCATTCCTCCGCAGACCAAAATGTCTTCGGCAAAACCAACATCAGCTATGAATCTGAAATAAATCTATCTTATCAGTTTTACATCAAAATCTTTCGTTTTTGTTGTTTTATTTAAGATAAAAAAATAAGTGGTAGTCGAGGGAAAGAGAAAACCGTAAACTGAAAAAGCCACAAATGTTTAATCTGGTTCAAGTGAACACAGTTTTCAAATTATAATACGAAATTAGATTTTCTTGGTACATCTGATGAACAATTTGGAATACTTTCAACGAGCAAATGAAATTTAAACGAACCGAAATACCGACAAAGAAATTAATTCTCAAGTTCATGACTATAGCAGACTCGTTACCTTAGTACTACAATTAACTACTTTGTATATTTTGTATTAGTCACCGTCTGAAAGTATATTCACTACCGACAAAATTACTCAAACTTAATTACCTAGGTTAAGCGCCAAAATGACTAATAACACAGGAAGGTACAGTCGATAACTCAAAACCATTAAAATCCCAGTTATCTAGTTGAAGAGGATATTAAAAGACTGTATGACGATAAAACCCTAGCATTGATATTGGGGAGTAATTTGAAGTCGACGACGATTTTGGCATCCATAAAGGTTTCCCTTCCGATCCACATCATTCGGCATTTCTCGAACTGAACTGTGGAGACCACTAACGCGGTGAACTAATTACGTAAAATGTAACAATTTCGAACGAGTTTTTATACTAACGGCTCATGCTAGATTGATGATAATATAACAAAGTTAATGAACTGATCTTGCACCTGGTAATCAAAGTTTACACAGGACAAACAAATTTGTAATGTAATACGAAATGAACGAAGAACACTACAAATTGAAATGCAATGCACATTATACATTGAAAATTTCTGTTCGAAAGTGAACAAAATTAAATACCTATAACCATATCAATACATCAACCTTTACATATCAGTCGTGTATGAAATGCAAGCGAAAACTCTCGGAGCAAGGTTTAGAAAATATTGTCGACACATACTTGTATAACAAATGAGAGGCACACTTTCAAAAAAAATAAGCTATTACACATTTCCAATTAAGTCATGAATTACAACTATCAATTTAAATCAGGATTAATTGGATATCATGCGTGATGAATCATTTCAGAAATCCCCATAAACAGTTCTAGGAAACAGATTTTCAGACATTTAAAGCTACCAGAAATTAAGTTCCTCTCCCCCCTGATAATTGAAAAAACTTAAAAAATGAAGAATTCCCGTTTCCCGCAAGATATTTTTAATCGGCGCTACAAAACTGACCAAGTAGGCTCGAGTCCAGAATTTTTTAAGGTATGACACAAATAGTTACGCATGTTGCAGTCCGTTATGTATCCAAAGTTTTTCCCGGGAAAAATGTTCCCATGACCAATTTCAGTATTACCAGTCATGCATATCTTATACAGCAGAATATTGATCTAAAACAAATAAAAATTAAAATGTACGTCTGGTACTAACAGATAACTGAAAATTTACTTAAAATCTTTATTGAGTAAAGTATTCTTATCATCTCATTCAAAAACCGAAGACTAACTACTCCCCAAACACTTACTTGAAGGTGTATCACTTAACATAGGTTTAGGGGAATAAACAAATGCTCTGTTTACCTCAACCAGTGAAACTTAATTTGGCATCCGAGAGAAAATGGAACTCAGTCAACCCTACATACATCTTATTACCTATTGAAACCTGTGCCACTTATTGTGAAAACCACTGAAATTCACCATAAAACAAATCCAAATAAGCATATTTTAATGTACTAGTCAATTTTTATTGCATTATTATTGTACTTTTAACACTTATTCGGCATTCATTGTCAAGAACAGTGCAATACGCTTTATTGCTAGACGGAGTAATAGCAAGTGTTTTTTAATTCGAACTGGAATGACCTTAGCCGTCACTTGGCATTTAACGAGATCGGGTCGTTACGAGAGTTACGAAGGAGTCGACAGATATGTTGGGAAGAACTTTAGCGGGCGTAAAGTACTCCGATGCCGTAAATTCCAATATCTACGGCAATGTCATGGGTACAGAACAGCTGACTTCTTCTGCGGTGAGATCAATCCTAGTCACTATATGGCTCACTGCCAGACGTTCGGTCAAATTTCGTAAGAATTACGTATACACACACGAAAAAAAAAAACTATTGAGAGACTAATACCGAGGGAATTTCAGTAAGAAGTGAACGGCACAGTTACTGTCAAGGCGGATGCCAGGATCCCCATAGTAACATTTTTTCTCTTTTAAAAGCGAAGACCAACATTCACACCCTAGAGTCTTCCAAAACGAAACAAACTATTTTATTAATGCCAACGTTATCTTCATATTTAATTTAAATTCCGGTTTAAATGCAGCCATTGTGATGAGAACCAATTTTCCAAGAGAAAAAAAACTTTATTCAACTCAAATTTGGCCCGAAACTTTTACAGTATGCTACTAACGCGCATCGCGACATCTGAATCGGGTACATTCTAAAACAATCTTGTTCATCGAGCTCTTCGCTCCACTTCGACCGCTTTTCCATCGAAAAAAAAAAGAAGAAAAAATTGTAAAAAAGCAGTCGCGTGTTCTCTCCACAACTAGGCCGCACGCACCACGCGTCGAGCATTGAGATCGCCTCGGCCGGGGCAAGGCCTCGGAGAAGCCGACCTCTGCGGCTCGCACTTCATCAGAAGTTGCTAGCGGGCAGCGCGGGGGGATCTTACCAGCAACACGACCCGGAAACACACACGAGGCTCGCAGCTGGAAGCCGCGGGAGACGGCACGGCTCTGTCAGGGTCGGTCGCACGAACCCGCGCTTCGTAGCTCTTCGCATGGACACGCCTCACTCGCGGCCACTGTCACTTGTTTACGATCGTTGTAGCTAAGCAACTTTCTCCGGAAACTTACAGGCAGAAGACGTCACGGCCAAACGTTACTTAATCGTAATGATTTTGATGGGGGAAAAGGCACGTTGTGAGGGGGATGTTGGATGAATTAGAGAAAATTCTGACCACGTGCCGAACAAAGGAATATTTCTTTGTGAATATAAACTCGAACCAATGAAAGTCATCTCAAGTTCCAAAAACATATATACAAATCTCTTAAAATTACTTTTTCCATTTTCAAAACTAAAATAAAATGAAGCGACATTTCACATTATCTATTAATAAAAATAACACCAGTCATGTAACATCGTTACAGGACATGCATGTCATTCTGAATTATTAGTACGAAATTTTATGAAGCAACCATTGCTAAAAAATACACGCACAAAAATGTGGTAGGACCGTTTCGAAAATATCCGGCGCAAAATTACACAATTTGAAACAATTATAAAATCAATTAATAACATTGATATTTGTACAATTGTCATAAGCTCGTCTTCACATTTCGAAATTGCAGTTTTACTTACAAAGGAGATGAACCCTTAATTTTATGTAATGCTCTTAATATTATGTTCATGAAAATTTTTTAAGTAAAAACTTCAATCCAAAACAATCTGTGAAATAACCTATCACAACTATTCGAATAGTTTGTCATAATGATTACTTAACTATTTCATTCCAAGTTAAAAAGTATTGACATGCAAACGAAATAAAGTCAAAATTTCGGAGGGCAGTCACCTCAATAACTGCAGAAATACGAGAGGAAACTTGCGGCAAGGCCAACAAGATACTTCACAGTGGACGGAGTTTGAAGAGTAGGCAGGTTATTCAGACTTAAACAAGCCTCTATTTACCTGGCTGGAAAGTCATTACATATACTCGTCACAATACACCATCCGGGACTACCTATTAATGAAAATAGATTCCGCAATTTTTTCTCAACAGTACTCTTAAACCATGTTTGAAAACATCGAGTAAAAATAACTACATGAAAGCAAATGCGTCTCCATAACACTCACCGTTAATGGATATCCTTCAGTGAAGTAAATGAAGAATCTGTAATAAATATCACCAATATATAGGATTGAAATTTAAAGCTCTCTTTTTCCAAATGCTTCAATTAATACAGAACGCAAGGTCGCGAGTTGCACACAATACACCACGAAACACAGAGAACATACCTGCTCTTCAGACTTCGCAAAACTGTACAAAACAAATGGAAATGGAGAACTATACAGAACTCTCGGGAGAGCGCAGCACCTGCTTCTGATAAACCAACCAGCTGTAGCCGAGATCGACGATTGGACGACTGATGGACCGATGGCGGCAAATGCAGGTTCACCAACCAAATAATTTCGTTTTCTGTAATCCTACTGACAAAACACGCGCGATTTGTTATGATTTCCGCGTGGATAGATGAGTAGTAGAGTTGCCAAGAATTTAATCACGGAAGAATTTTCTTCCACGGTATCTTACATAATGTTAAGGTATGGTACTAACTAACCCAGCAAATGTAATGTAATAATGAACGGTCCAACATCATCCCAAGTTTTGGGCTTGTATAGAAATTTAATGCGGTATGGAAAACAGCTTCAATTTACTGACAAATCTTATTTTTTGAATCGAATTCGTAAAGAATTCAAGAAGAAAAAGAACCTTACTGAATTAGAAGACATAAAGTTTCAATATGAGGTAAATTTTAGAAACAATGTAGAACTTATTATAAATGTTTTGGGTCATTCATTATTTTTTTTTCTTTTAGAGAGGTGTGGCCTTGCTGAAGAACAGAAGAGTTATGTAGCACAGTCTCTCTACTATGGCATTGTTTTTGCCAATAACCCCAACCCTAGGAAAACACCTGCTTCAAAAATGTTATCCACTAATTTTGTCTATTGAGAAACATACTATTGACCGTTCTTGTGTGCCGGTACTTGATGAAAAGGATCTGGATGAAAGGTTTGTGAAAGGTAGTGGTCCTGGTGGTCAAGCTGTTAACAAAACAAATAATTGTGTTGTTCTGATTCACAAACCATCAGGTATTGTAGTGAAGTGTCATAATTCTCGACTACAGTCTGAAAACAGACAAGAAGCTCGAAAAATGCTTGTAGAGAAATTAGATACTATGTTAAATGGTGAAAATAGTATTCAAGCTCAAAAACTTAGAATTGAAGAAAAAAAATCAAAGGAAAAAAATCGTCGTCAAAGACGACGTGCAGAAATGAAACAAGCCTGGAAAGAACAAAGTGTAGAATAAATCAGTTGCTTATTAGAAGGAAAAATATTTCATGAATTCTAACAGTGTGCTTGATATGATATCTTATACATTTGTGCTGTAGTGTTTGTGTAAATAATTAATATTTTGAGGTCAAATATATTATTTATTATATTCTGTGTTAAAAGTTATTTTTTATAGTGTTAACTAATATAACAGTTGTCGAAAGTTCATGTTAGGTTTTATTTCATCTCAAAGAAAATCTTGAAAGTTAAAAATAAAAAACAAAAGTCCAAATGGCCTCTCTACTTTTTAATAACTCTTTTTAATTATTGTCATAGAACAAAATTATATGAAGGTATTCTTCAGAACTCTTCCAAATTAAAAAAATGTTCAACCATTATTTCACAAAACAAATTTAATTTTTCCCATTACTTTCAAAATATTCTCAGGTATAATAAACTGAAAAAGTTGCTATTTGTACAACAGGACTCAACAGGTTTTAACATATTACCCACCATACACTTGTGAGTTGCTCTACATGTTGATCTGGAAATTGTGTTTGTATTATGAAATACTTTCCTAAATCTTAGAGGCGGATCAGTGGTTCTTGTGCAGATGAAATTGAATATTCTTGTTCTGAGTAATTGGGCAAGAAAGCCGAATTCCTAAAACATATAGTAGGCAGAAGAATCTCAATTGTTGGCTACCCTATCCAAATCTTACTTTTGAAAAGTGGAGCTCACATTTCTGGAGTAGGTTTACACTTAAACAATTCCTAGGACATGAAACCTTTTTTTTATTTTTCCCGCTGAGTGATGCACGTGTTTGAACTTGCCGGTTCCCCTCTTATACATCTCAGTCTATGATCTAGTTTTGTATTTAGTTTGTTTGGGGGAGGTCCTATCTATCTCAGTTATAGGAATATAAGTCAATTTTTTGTAAACGGTACAAAACAATTTTTTCCTTAACTTATAATTACAGTATTTACCTCAATACATAGCCCGGCAAATTCGCGCTGGATACGACCGCGAATAAACTTTAATTACATATTGTAGATTTGCGCGATATTTTTTTACTGTCTTTGCAACTTAGTTACGCCAATTGACGAGTTTCGTGACATGCAAAGTTAGTATTACTCGCGCAACCTTGGATGGTTTGAAGAAATGCGGGTAGAGTGGGGGTATTAGTTACAAAAGCAGCCACTAGACTTTACGAAGCAATGCCAATCACTGGAGAATCAATCATCCCTTCGCATCATTCCCAATCATTTGCGTTCTAACTATCTCAGGAGTTCGAGGTATCTGCTGTGATGAATATTCACCTGTTTCGGTAATTTCTTAAGAAGTTTCTCTTTCTTTTTTGGAGAAAATCACGGGCAAAAGTACTCTTCACCAGAAAATAGCTTCTATTTCGCGCCAGTGAAGATGTGATTGGAATGTCATCAATGCTCGCTACGAGCTTTCGCCTTCAACTGTTTATTGACCCAGAGAGAGGAAGCAAGGTCATCAGGCAAGAAACGTTGCGCGGGTAATATAAAACGAGCCGTTTTTTGACTAAATATTTAGGGGGAAAACTTCGTCTTATATTCGAGTAAATACGGGTATACAGTGGCTCACAAAACTATTCGAATTTGGCAGAATAATTGCGGATCAGGAATATTAAAAGTAGAAAATGAATGAAATAAAGTATATATGATCACTTGCACAAGCAGTTAAAACCTATTTACAAAGGTTTCTTTACAATCAACTGATACTTTGATTTCTATGTGCAGAAAAGTTACCAAACAAAACTATTAGGACACTTTCATGGAAATATAAACAAATATACATAGTAAATGAATACTTGAAATAAAAAAAGATGTAAGTGCCATTTCTGTTACATTTAGGTTTTTATCAGAATAACAAAGAATGAATAAAGACCTATAACATAAAAAGAATAAAAGCTGCAGCACTTTCTTCAGTACATTGTACAAGTTTTGGGGTACGAGAAGCAGAAAGTTTTTACCATTTTTGTTGCATATTTCCTTTAATTATTGTCTGTAATGAATTGAATATTTTCTTATTTCCTGTTCCAATTTTTCCAAAGATATTCTAGAACACTGAGGTTTGAGGTGACTGACTAAGGGGGTGGATAAAGAACCTTTGGGCAGTGTACAGCAGCCAAAGTTCCCACAACTTGTGCTTGGGTTCATTATTAAAAATATGTAATAATACTAAGATTTCAGCATGTAGTTTTCAATTTTATTTAAGACTATCAAGATGGTTTAATCTATTCATCATTTGCTCTATGAACACAAGTTCACAGATACCATTGCCTGACAAACAGCATCACACCATTACATTTCCTGCTCCTTGCTTCACGGTTGCTTGCATGGTTTCTTCTTTTAGCTCTTCATTTGGCCTCTTCCACATCCAAATTTGTCCTTCAGAACCACAGACGTTAAATTTCAATTAATTGGTGAAGATTACTCTATTGCACCAGTCTTCATCTTTTTATGAGTGTTTTTTAGCAGACTCTTGTCTTTCTCTTTGGTTCACTTTACTTATAAATGACTTTCTTTTGGCAACATGGCTAATGAAATTTGACCTCCTTAGTACACTTTGCATGGTTTGAAGATTTACTTTGTTGCCAATTTCTAACTGAGCAGTAATGTTTGTTGCACTTCCCATGAGTCAGGCTAAACAATTGACAGGCGTACAGCAATGGTGGAAGATTTCAAAGATCTTTTCAGATATCAAAAGATCTGTTTCCATGTTGCCCCAACAACTGTGTGAATAGTTTTGTTGAAGAGAAATCTCTGCATCAGCATTTTCTTTTAACCAAACAAATACATAATTTCGAAAGTAAGTATTAGTTATGTACATAAGAACATTTTATTGTTTCAAATTTGTGCACTACCTAATAATGATGTGGTTTTCTGAGGAAACTTTAAGCAAATTCTGGTTAAAGAAATAAATGGCTGAATAGTTTTGCGAGTCACTATATACATGGACAGGGAATAACTAGTCCTGAAACACATTTCTATATCAATAACTGTGATGCATTTACAGAAATGATATTTAATAATATACAGATTACAAGAAGAGCTTGGTCAAAGGTGGTTGCAAGCAATTATCAGACTATGCTATGTGCACATTACATTTGCAGTTCAACAATCCGGAAAAAACTCCATGCAAGACATAAGATATATCATCATTAAATCTATTGCAGTTAACAATTTTTAAAACACTACAAATTACAAAAATTATAATTTTATAGAGTTCTTCACTTTTATTTGTAGGTGTTAACAAGTTGTACAGTGGAACAGCTTAAAATGAGAAAAAAATTGCAGTTTCCTATAAATTGCTCCCTTGGTTCAGATAACCTGAGATTCTCTCTGAGGAATTTGTCCGAGTCAAAAATAACCAAATATTAAGATACAACAGCATTTCGTATCCATATGCATTTTCATTGGCCTATTTGTTACAACAGAGGTATCAAAACCTGATTCACAAACTAATTTAGCAAATTATGTGATCATAAAAATAACGTTGCCTTAAATAAATCTATTTTTATGGTTAACATGAAATGTGTTTAAAATGATAAGTCTATCTCTAATTAACAATTTTTTTCCCCTTAAAAGAATCGCTAACATGGAAGATGGACACATTTTGTGTTTTGAAAGTGCTCATGACATTAGTAACATTTTAATGGGAAAAATATATTATTAGTATTTAATTTCTTCTGTCTTCATAATTAAAAGCTTGTATCACTGTTAATCGAGCTACATTATATTCTACAAGTAAGTCATGTCTGTGATTCCACATTCTATCACAGCCAAAAAGCATTTTCATATTCCAAACACAACTATATATATCTATTAATGAAACTAATAAGGAAAAGTGAGAATGAGAATAACTGCAGGAAAGGTGATGAAGAAAAGAAAAGAGAGAGAGAGAGAGAGAGAGAGAGAGAGGGGGGGGGGAGAAATAAAAGAAAAACCCAACAACAACAACAACAACAACATAGTATTTCTCTTACATAAAAAAAAAGAAGATAATTTTATGGTAGGTAGGAATTAGCAACTCAAATCAAAATGTATGAAGAGGATCATGAGCTTTCCCAAAATTTGGTGAATGACCTGAAGTGAGGAAAGAAAAGGCTTTATTGATTGTTTGTGAAACGAATACTACATAAAGGCTGATGTTTCAGGAAGAAGTCAGCAATACCTGAAATAAAACAAAACTGTAACAATTTTCACTCAAGTATATTTTAGAAACAAACATCAACATGGATCCAAAACTAATTTACAAAATGCAATAAGGTAGGAAATAAATTTAAATAAGATCAAACAAAAACTGATTGCTAAAAACATTTTCCACCACAAAATTAAGTGGAACAGATCAAAGGTACGTCAATTTCTTTTTCAGATAATATGGTTGGCAAAGAAAGATTGGTATAGTTATAATAATTTCCTTTCAGAAATAATAATGTATTCAAATGTTTTTCATGCAGCATTGTTAATACTCATTTATTATTTCTTTTTACTGCTCAAAATTCTAGTTTGCATATTTCATTTAAGATTCACTTATAATATCTTATGAATAAATATTTATTAAGAAGCCAATAAGAGATTTACTTAATAAATAAAGGCACTAAATGAGTTTTTATTTCAGTGTTCTGTATATTATCTCTTAGAACTTAAATTTCTCACAAAAATAAGTGAATATAATTTAGAAATTATCTGTACTGAAATTTCTTCAGCTGCCATTTTTAAAGTGAAGAATGCTAAGTGAATAGTTCTTACCCTTATAGGAATATGTTATTTAAAAGTAGGTGATACTAGTTAATAAGATAAGACACATTTTCACAAAGGTACTCACAAATCTAAATTTAGCATTTCTGTACATATATCAGCAATTATGCTAACAGTAACCAGTAACAAAAGTACTTATACTTTCTTTATTCTGCATCACAGGTTTCCCTGATGTAAATGTTTGTAATGCACATTAACGGCCAACAATATTCAGTCTGCATTGGTAAGCCACACTAATCAGAACCAAAGGCACTAAACTACAACTTGAAAGTGTCGATACAATATACATAAATTATTTATGTCAAAAAACCAACATATCAGAATGAGCATGGGCACTTTGAGACCGTGCTTTCTATCAATGAAACAACTATTCCTGAAAGATGAGTATCTACATATTTTAATCATTATACATAATTGGCAAATCATAAATTGTAGATTAGCAAATTCTCAAAAATTAAACTTCTTAACATGGGAAGAAGTTTCTTAAGATGAAGAAAATACACATACAGTAATACTTGCAAATAACTAAGCTGCAGTGTTTCTCTCAACAGTGACTTCATCACTTCTCAAATCAGTACTGGAGTCATGGAAGACTGTTGCTCACAGCAGCTTACATGAATAAAAATAATATTTGTTATTATTAAAAATTGCTGCCACAGTACAAGACCAGCTGTAACTGTGCTTCTTGCACCAAAATATTATAAAATACATTTTGCAAATTCCATTATGAGTTACTTTGTACTGAGTCTTGCACACAATCTGTGGATTTCTCCTAAATGCTACGTGTGAATGAGATTCAACATTCAGTGTTTCCTTACGCTCATGAAAAAGCAAAAAGTCAGTCACTTCACATAATTATAAAATTCATCCTATAAATAAATTGGAATTTACAATCACACCACATAACACACAATAAGTAGGAACCACTATAGGAAAAACCACATGAGAGCGAGCAAGAGTTCATGACTTATAAATACTAAACACATTGGTCAACAATGAACGAGACATAGAAAACCCTCATTTAAGCAATCAATTCAGATAGAACATAAATGCATTAAGGCAGACTTCCATGTTAGCAATAATATCAAATTTGAATTTTAACAATAAATTGAAGTTCGGTGCACGTGAGATTGATTTGGCCTACTAGCTCTTCAGTTCATCAAGCACAATTGCAGCAGCTGCCTCCAAATTCCAGTCGCATTTTAGTAAAGCAGTTTCACACTGCTGTCGCGATGCCAGTCCCAACCTGTATGAAAAGGGATATTTCGATTAATACTCGACATTCCAATCAAAATAATACTTTATTTTACCTCTCCATGTTAGCAAGTAAAATCAGAGCTAAGCAATTTTTAAGCAATTTTTTGTCTTGTTCAAACAATGCACTCACAATATAAAAATTTGTTATACCGGTACAGTATAGAAAATCATTTAATTTGATGCATAAAAAAATGCTTGCAACAAAATACTAGGGGTCAGGTAAGTTTTTTGCAAGGAAATGATACAGTATTTTTTATTAATTTTTTTCCAGACATCGCTTCAGAATAACACAGTGTATTATATCGTAACTACTTTCAAGGCTTTGCTTAAGGAAAATATATAGTTGGTTGTTTATTTTAATTCTTGAGTATTATTTCAGAAAAGTTAATAAGGAAAGAATTTTTTATTTTCTTTAAATAAAAATTATTAGAAAAACCTTGCCTACTTCTCATAACATATTTGCTTTAAAAAATGTTTGGGAAGTGATAGTAGTTCATGTTTTAGATAATTTTTATTTTGTAATACAAATATTTCTTAATTACTCGCTAGTACTTTATGCATTCTATTTTAATCACTGTGCATCAACTTAACCTCTAATTTTCATTTTTGAGATATTTAGAGAGGAAAAAAAGGTTACAGAACCCTCTTGGAGTTACAACTGAACTAATGCAGACAGGTTTCAGTTAATAAATACAAACAGCAACAAGTACAGTCGAACCTGGATAAGTGAGAGTTCAAGGGACAGCAATCTCTTTTTCATTTATGGAGGTTTTTCACTTAGGTACTGACATAGCTTTTCTCACTTGTAGAGGTTTAAAAACTACAGCAAATATGAAGTATTAAATCTATTGGTTTGTACTGTATATGTTTTATTCATTAGAATTTGACATACAGTCGACTCTGGTTATAGTGAACTTGGTTATGGTGAATTTAAAGTCACAGGTCCCGTTTCACTAACCTTACAAATAAGCATACGAAGATTTGGTTACAGTGAACCTGAAACTCAGTTGCAGTGGACCTCGGATATAGAAAATATGACCTGGAAATTAATTCCCTTTGTGAAAAGAATATATTGCCTGTGTGCCACGAATTCCAACATTAGGCAGCTTGAAATAAATATTGGCAAAAGGTCATAATCAAAGAAGTCTCCCCTGAGGTGAAGGACCTGGAATGGGGTTCTTACTGATGACATCATGCCACTCAAGTTTCACTGTGGAAACACAGGCCATGTCCTGCATGGGCTTCAACTGGCGGCGGTGATACGCAATTGCTAGCTTCAGTTTCAAGCTTGATTTTACTTGATATTCCATGAAGTGTGTTGTGTTCTGCGTATGTGATAGGAAGTGTGCGATTGCTGCAGCCCCAAAGCCTTGTGATACCTGCTGGCCGTGCAGAAAAGCGATTAGTTTCATTAGCCGCTTGTACCATTCCGCTACTGAAAGCATCTTGTATGTTATTAGGTGAGTAACGAGGCCTTCGACGATGGGACTTCCAACAGTGCAGTTATTTTAAAGGTCATTTTAATTAGTTATTTTTAAGGTCAAATAAAGACATTGAAATTTTCATTTCGTGCTGTTAATATATTTAGCTTTATTTCCATATTAATCAAATCAATCGTTGTGGAGAAATTCTATTTAATTTTGACATCAGTTATAGTGAACCTTGGATATAGTGGACCAAAAATGTTAGTCCCTAGAAGTTCAATAAAAACAGAGTGGACTGTACTTGCATTTCGTGTATGTTTTTCTCATTCATAAATCTTATTGATCAATATTGTTTTATCAACAATCGCTGTGTATTAAAAAAACTGGTGGATCATCTCCAGAATATTTAAGGCTTCTTGCTTCTCTGGATATGTTTGGACATTTTTTATTTTAAGAAATAATTTTATAAAAGGTGGATTCTGGTAAACCAAATGCACTCTGTATTTCATTTCGCTATTTCCTGCTCTCAAATGCATTCACCATTTTAAGATTATAACTTGACAACTCTCAACGGTCAATAATCTGGCAATTCTGAGTTAAAGAAGTAGGACTGGATGATTTGAAGGATTATGTGATGGTTTTCCATTACCTCCCACATCACAAAAACAAAAATTCCATGCTTTACTGTGGTCACAAACTTCAAAACATTGTGCTGGCAATGTGAGTAATTAGACAGTGCTCCCACCACATAGGTCTACAATACAGGACAAATTGTAAGGCATAATATTTAAGTGACAGAACAATAAATAATCCCAGAAAACGATAGTCTATGTAGATCAAACATTTAAAATATCATTTGTAATGAAGATAATTTATTTTTGTTGAAATTACTAAATTAGAAGGTGCTTAAATAAATTTAAAAAATGGGTCTTATAACATTAACTTCTAGTGTACATATTTACAGAAAAAAGAAAGAAAAAATTCGGACTCTTACGAAAATATTGAAAGAAAATTACCCTTTTTGTTTTCTCTTCACTAACAAAGGGAACAGATGAGACGTGCGCGATTTTGAAGTTGGCACTGCAGTGTAAGTTATGCCATAGATATAAGAGGGAGCCAGCATCTGATATGGTAACAAACAGTTGGTTTTTGGTATTGATGAGGTGTACGTATTGAATGTTTCATCCAATCGGGAGCTCAAACGTCACTATCCCGTTCAAGATCCCGTCTGGATGAAATTGTCAACAGCTGACAACTGCCAGTGGCAGAGTTGGATAAATCGCAGTACAGTGAAGTTATGTTTTGTATCCATCTTCCGTGATTTCAGAGTACAGCAAAACAACTCAGTTTATAAAGTTTTTTTTTTTCTTTTTTTTTTTTTTTTTTTTTTTTTTAATCCCCGATAATCCCTGTACTTTCTCCATGATGAAATTATTTCAAAATATTACGTATTACGGTTATTACGTTCGTAATGGCATCCCTTTACGACGCCATACTTTCCATTATGCCTCTACAGGTGACCGAAAAGGTGAGAACTTGCACGTTCATCGTAGAGGAGTCCACGACAATTTCGTGTGTTAGAATTCAATATTTCGTCGCTACGCAGCCGTTCTATTGTTCACTTTGTGGACATTTGGGAAAAAACTAAAGATGGAAAAAATAGGGAGCGGGTTACCGTCGTCCGACGAGTCTTTGTATAATGTTTCACCAGCCCAATGGCACGATAAAAAAATCGGCGCAATTTAAGAAATATGAACGCGAGTGAATAAAATTTTATAATGACATGTAGGCCTGTGTCGCACGAGCGTTGCGGTTGACGCGGTCACGCAAACGCTGATGGCATCACTGCATCGATGATGTGCACACGAGTCACTTAATGCACGGATTAACACTATACTATGCGAAACAGCACACAAGTACTTGCTGAGCTTGGGTACAACGCACGTCGCCAAGCCGCTCGTGTGCCGTTTCGCATAAGATTGTGTTAATTCTACGACGTGCCTTAAGCGTCTGGTGTACGCAATATCACACAGCTGAGGCCATCCACGTTCGTACATGACGCCAGCGTCAACGCGACCCGCCCGTGTGATGGGCCTTAAGTAAGGCTGCGTAACAGTGCCTCCACTGCGCAGAAAATGGTTAGTCATCAGTTGATGTTGAAGTTTGGAAAAGTGCCTTTTTTTTTATGATTTTTAAAAATTTTAATAAAAGGAATCACTTAACTGTACTTCTCTAGAGTAGTTTTAAAACTCTTCATTTGCCTTTTTAATTCTTTTGTAGGTTCTGATTTTTTATTATTTGTTTTAGATTGGGTATATTTCTTTCTTATCTTTTTTCTCCTGAAGCACTATAAATCATGATCAAGCGGGAAACAAACCAGCGAGCCTGACAATAGAAAGACGTTTTGTCTATCTTTCGAAAATGAAAACTCCAAGGCCAGGAAGACGTTAAAATTTAATTGGGAACAGGAATGATGCCTATCAAAAATTTATTGGATTACTTCACTAATGCTATTAGGCTTTGGTTTGCTCATGAGGATACCATCTGACTTTTCCAAAGTTACGGCCTCTGATCTCCTTTTGAGGACTTGCTGCTCAGTAGTACATGACATTCAATTAAGTGTCCCCTTTTTCCCTTCAGGTTGCTGATTAATTAGCAAGTCAGACGAAAAAATAAGAAAGAATACAACTGATGCCATTCCAAAATTTAAAAGGAATTCACAATAGCCATTAAGACAGCAACCAATTCTAGAGGCATCACACCTATGCCACTACGAATAATTTTCAATAGGTTCAAACTGAAAAATAATCTTTCTGAGACTGCTGGAAAAAAAAAATGAAAAAACGAGAAAGCGACAGAGAGAGAAATGCGAGCAGAGAGAGAGAGAAAAGCGGGAGAGAGAGAGAGAAAGCGAGAGAAGAAAAGCGGAGAGAGAGAGAAAGCGAGAGAGAGAGAGAGAGAAAGAGAGAAGGAGAGAGAGAAGAGAACTGCAGAGAGAGAGAGAGAAAGCAGAGGAGAGAGGAGAGATAAGCGAGGGAGGAGAGAAGAGAGAGAGAGAGAGAAAGCCATGAGGAGAGGACCGATGGAGAGAGAGAGAAAGCTGCGAGATGAGAAGAGAGAAAGCGATGGAGAGAGAGAGAAAGCACGAGAGAGAGAGAGAAAGCGAGAGAGAGAAGAAGGAGAAGAGGAGAACAAGAGAAGAGAGAAGCCGAGAGAGAGAGAGAGAAGGAAGGAGAGAGAGGAGAAACGAGAGAGCGGAGGAAGAGGAGAGAGAGAGAACAGACGAAGAAGAGAAATGAAAGAGAGGAAACCGAGAATAGCGAAGGAAGAGGACGAGAGAGGTAGAGAAAGCCCCGGATGAGAAGGAGAGAAGAGAAAGACAGAAGGAAGAGAGAGAGAGAAAAAGCCGAGAGAGAGAGCCGAAGAGGAAAGCGTGAGAGAGAGAGAAAGCAGAGAGAGAGAGAGGAAAGCGAGAGAAGAGAGAAAAGCGAGAGAGAAAGAGCAGAAAGGAGAAGAGAGAGAGAAGAGCGCGAGAGAGAAGAGCGAGGAAAAGCGAGAGAGAGAG